ATCCGACCGGCAAAAGGCCCAGGGGACGGCCAAGATTAACCTGGTGCAAACATATGGAAGGAATCTTTTCCAGACGACCGGCAATAGGCCCAGGGGACGGCCAAGATTAACCTGGTGCAAACATATGGAAGGAATCTGTTCCAGACTGTATTTGTCTTTTGCCGAAGCTCAGACTCTGGCACAGGATCGGGAACGTTGGAAGCACTGTCTGACGCGTCTCCTCCGCGACCCGAAAGGAGAAGCGGCGATGCAAGATGAAGATGAAGAAGGAACGAGAAAGGCCAAAAACTGTTCGAATGAAACCTCTCACATCAACTCATATACTTATACACTGATCTACTAAGCTCTCTCCCATAATCAATCTCCTCCAATCGTTAATTATCACTTGTCTCATCATTATTTATTTTATTTGTTGTTGTTTGTTTGTGCACTTTATATGTATTGTCACACTGACGGCTTTAGCTTGCCGAATTACGCAGATTTATACAAAATTCTTGATTTTGATTGATGGAACAATGGCAACAGCGGTGTTACAAAATGATATACAGTAAAGCCCGTTATAACGCGAGTTTTCTTTTGGGGACAGCGTGAACAACTACGTTACCGACAACCAGGGGTATATCGGAAAATTTCCGCAGGATATGTAATTTTATACGTATAAATAAAAACATTATAATAAAAACTCATACCTCCCTTTAATGATCTTTTTTTAAATAGTCAGATAGGTCTTTCGACGCGAGAGCTGCTGGCACTTCTTCGACAAATACATCTTAATACTGTATTAATAATGTTTTACTTTATCTCAGCAAGCTTTGTTCTGAGGGATAATTTCAGCGAGTGAACCGAATCCGGCCCGAGGGCTTTAGATTGCCGACCACTGTTGGAAGCGAATAGTACGAGTGACACAGATACGAAATAATACATCAGAAACAATCATTTTAGAAAATCATATGTAACGTAGATGGAATACTCTGAAGGATGCCAAGACGCAATAATTTGTT